AAAAAAAAAAATAAAAAAAAAAAATCAATCAAAATAAAAAATAAAAAATATTTATAAACAAGCAATTGCAAGAAGTCAATAGGGTTACTGGCAAATGGCCTTGTTTGACAATCATCGGTTAGCTGTTAGTTGTTAGCGGATTGTATTAGCTGTTTTGACCAGCGGATTGTGTCAGCTGATTTGACCATTGAATTTTATTAGCGGTTTGTAAAATAGTGTTTGGTAAAATTAGCAGTTTGATATTTAATTAATTACATTTAAAATCAAATTATAAGAACAATCATATAATTTAATAATTTTTTATGTCACAATAATAATTATTTAAATATCTCAAATAAAATTTTGTGGTATACATCTCAAAACAGCCAAAATCAAAACACAACTACGCTCCTAATGGCACCGTTTCTGATTTTGGCTGTTTCATCCAAACAGCTATTTAAAAAAGCTGTTTTACCAAACAACAAGTTTGGCTGTTTGAGATGGTCAAACATCTAATATTGATTCAAACAGCTAAAAGCTATGTGAAAAGCTATTTACCAAACATGGCAACTGAAGGGTCCTCCCAAACTCCAAATTTCGAAAATTCTGCTCATAATGGCTGACGGCTTCATAGTCGAAGCTCGAGGCACCAAAACTTCGGAATAAGCATAGAAAGCTATTCCTTCTCTTCCTATCCATTTCTTCTCCACCAATGGCGAGGAAGAGAGAGAAAGTTCCGGAGGTCCTCTGGAGATTGTTTGGCACCCGTGCTCGGCCGCTAGCCGACACCATCCTGGCCTTAATACCTCCGACCGCGGCCGCCGAGTGCCGCTGCTCACGTGGCCGCTGCCTCGCCTGCAGCGGCGATGAAGCCATGTCCTTCCTCGTCGGACCTGGCGACTCCGCCGACTACCATAAGCTCTTGACGGGATGCTTCGTCGTTGTTTCCGAAAATGCCCCTCCCATCCCTCCCGTCTTCGATCCGCACTGCCGCTGGTCGCAACGCGAGGTACGTATCCCTCTGTCTGTCTCTCTGTGTGTGCGCGTGTGGTCAGGCTGGTGTACGTGCTTTTTTGGGCGGGAATTTGGAATTTTCGTAATTTGTGTGGTTCTTTGGAGAAAAAGAGTACACGTCACTACGTCTGCAAATGGTGTTGGTTTGAGTTGTGACTGTATGGTTGGCGGGACATCTGTTAATTGCAAGTTTCAACAGCTCATCTCTTGGTTTCCGCTTGGACGATTTCTGTTTTACCATTAGAATTGCATTCTCCAACTGTCTTAGATTCAACTAACCATTTCGGAGTGCCTACGCTTAAATATCTAGTCCTCTAGAGCTAGCGATGCAGGAACTCGAGGCCGGCTAGGTTATTATATCCAGATATGTTATGGTTTCCTCGAAATTAACTCTTATTAGTTATGATACTGGGTTGCTATGCTACTTATACAGACAATGGTTCTTCATTTTTGTATGATGTTATATGTGAAGGTTAGCATTGTTTAAGAGCAAAGAAAATATGCTAGCATACTTCAAGATTTAATTTTGATTAATATATATTATTATGCCATTGTTTCACAAGAATAATGTATGTCATTCTATCTGAGTTGAAATTAATCCTTTTTGTGCTTTCAGATTGTCAGAAGATCCATTGAAATGATAATTCAAGAACAAGCGTCCTCTTTGAATCTGATCTGCTGCAGTTATGATAAAGTTAGTATTATTATGAACCATTTAGTGAGGGCTAATTTTATCTTGTGCCAGAGTTTCATTTGTTAATTTTTAATTCGATTTACTTCCATTTATTTAGATGTCTCATGGATATACATTTACTCATCTTATTTTAAGACATAAATTGTCCTTCATGGATATTAGATTATATAAAGGTTATTGAGTTTTTCTTTGGTTTTGCTTTCTTGCAGAGCAGCCGCTCAAGTGTTGTGGTTGACACATTGACCTCTTTAAATTGGTCTATCCTACTAAAGAGGGTGGGTAGAAGTGGTGACTTCTGTTAAGTTTCATTCATCTGTTGGCAATTATGCATATTGAACATGATTAACATTTAAATACAATTTTTAGGTTGGTGATGCTCTAATGATGTATTTGTTGAAGTACACTTCAATATTTATACCCCTGCGACACAAGAAGTTATATCAGATTGTTGGTTTCCCTATCAGTGAGTTGTGCGGTAAAATCTCAAGGCGAATGGCAGACTCCAAATATCAGCTTTGTTCACATGTGTCTGAAGGTATTCAGGGACATTTTGTTATGAGAAGGAATATAACACACCATTTGACCCGATATCATCTGTTTCACATGGATCAAGAAATCTGTTCGGTATATATTGTCATTTGCTTATATCTACAGCTTTATCTGGTTGCCCTTCATTTTCCTTGCACATTTGATTAGGTGGTTGGATCTTTAAGCATTAGGCCTTTGTTACAGTGCTAAAACTTATTTAAGATTTTGATTACATCCACATTGACTTCTCCTAGGATCCAGGAAAAAGACGAAAAGGGTCGAAGGAATTGAGCCAGCCACAGGGAAAGAGCTATCGACATTTTCTCCGGATTTAGAGCCTTCTTCAAACCCAATTACGATTATTGCAGGTAATGGTGAGGATAACCTCGCACTCCTTCGAAGAGATAGATACTAGTAAGGTAAAAACGCTTGTAAGAAATCTACTGAAGAGGCCACAATGCCTGCAGGTTCTTGTTTTTCTCAAGAAGAATCTCCTCACGACAAACATGAGAGAAGTTTGAAAGAAGATACTGTTAGACCTAAGAAGCGTAAGAGAGAATTCAGTTGGCAGAGGCAAAGGAAACATAAGCAGTTGGTTGTTCAAGAAAAACAATCTTTGATTCCGTATGGAGAAAATTGTTGCAACACTGATAACTTATCCAGAGGGCTCCCGAATGATGAGCGTGCAAGTTCATGTCAGACTCGAGTGGCTGTAAGTATGATGAGTTTGGTTTTAATTGAACTGTAAATTGTTTTCTCGTTCTTCATTTGTTAAACCTGTCAATAATATCCTGGTGGTTGGTGTGAGGCTAATATAATTTGGTCTGAATGAGCTCTATGGCTATAAGCCCAAAAATGTTTCCATGTGTTGCACGTTGTCTGTTTATAACAAATTGGTAACACTTATGATTTTATCTGCATTTGCTTAATAAACACCCAAGTGTAAAGACAGCATATATAATTGAGAAGTGATTATCATTTGGTATTATTCATTGCGACGTCAGTTGTTGGTTGACTATGTTGTGACGAACTGATGAAATAAGACCTCCAGTTCCGAGTTGGTGAGGTTCCCAGTATTTTTTTCTCTGTTCATGTTCTTTACTGTGTGATTTATGTATTGTAGATCGAGGCAAGCTGCTTTCGTTAGAGCAGCTATAACTTCTGTGCTCGATAATGTCATTTTTCATTCACAAATGTGACATACATGTATTACTTTATGAAATTTTATGGTGTATTCAATTCAGGAGGATACCATTTGAATTTAGAAACAAAAGAACTGTCAAAAGCTAACCCGGTCCCTATTTTCTACCAATTCCTGGAGGATGAAAGTAATGATGATGAGAAAATTTCACACATAAATATGTAACTTCACTTGTCAGTGATTCGATGTCAATCATAATTGCAATACCCTTTGTTTCTTATTTACTTTCTGTATAATAATATGGTTTGTGGTCTTTTTATTTGCAGATCAATTCTCGTTGCTTTTGTTGTTCAGTTTTCCAAAATGAACCAAAGATGAAGCGGAATGCTGAGATTGATAGACAAAACATATTTTATAAGTTAGAAGATTCTACATTAATGCTGCCAAGGAAACGTATCCTCATTGGTATCTATCTATTTCTGCTTACCCATATTTTGTTGTGGAAAATATTATTTTGATTGTCCGATGCCAACTATTGAGGAAGTGACAACTTCAATATTTTCTGTACTCCAGCCTTAACATTGAACAGACATACTGTACACTGTAAAGCCCAATGGCTGTGGAGCTTCTATCCTGTTCAATAATATCTTCAGATCATTTGGCATGAATAGTCATCCTGGGATTCCATGTCTTCACAGAAAAGATAATTGCCCTGTTTTATCCACCTGTTTGTAAGCATCAGCATGAATTTATATATTCTAGATATTCCCATGGTTCAAGTTAAGTTCGATATGTCTGTATTGTAAATTGTCTTTTCATAATTTATTAAATTTATTTGATTATGATAATTTCGTGACATAATTTCGATTGGTTCTTTCCATTTCTAGTTTATTTACTTTCATTAACAAACTACTAATTTGTTTGAAGGGGCAATTTGCTCATTTGAAGGTGCTTCCTTTGATCTAGTTTAAACTTGACAATGTATGAGAACAGATTACATGTGGCTACCAAATTTTATTCTCGCATTGAGAGTAAAAAATTCTCATCTCCTATTTTATGTGGTCCTTAAGAAATAAGAATCAAAAGTAGTTCTCTGATGGGATTGGTTTCTGTCGCCTATGGTCTTTTGATTTGGTGGAAGTTAAACAATCACAGGCTTCATGATTGCACTTATTCCACAAACATGCTTATAAAACTTTTTCCTTTCGTAGTTTAGCTCACAAACGCTGGTAAAAATTCCTATGCATATGTTGCTTCTATCTTGGTTAATTGAATTGTAGGAATAGGATATAACATTTCGCTAGAGGAGAAATGTTAGGGGTGGTTAGCTAGTAGAAGAAAAGCTTCATGATTGCACTTATTCCACATACATGCTTATGAAACTTCTTTTCCTTGCGTAGTTTAGCTCACAAACGCTGGTAAAAATTCCTATACATATGTTGCTGCATAAATTATTAACACTTTGTCCTTTGTTGTCTAGATATCATTCCCTGACTAAGTTACTAAAAAATCTCATTCGTGAGACTCAAAATTGCCGATATTTGAGGCTTTTAGACAAGCACTGTCCTATGGGATCCTCATATGAAGACACGAATGGAGATACAAGCACTGGGTTTAAGGTTGGTGTTTATTTTGTGAGGACATTTACTTTGTTTCACAGTGAAGATGACTACACTGAGTAAATGGGATTTATTTTTTATCCTTCTATTATGTGTAGTTGACCCTCTTGATTATGTTTGATGTTAATGAATTTATCTGCATCTCCATACGTGTGGTTATGGATAACTACTATTATCCTATTCCAGTCTTTTTTTCTTTCTGGTCATAGTAAAAACATGTCAAATAAAAGGCTTGAAGTAGTTTTATCCTGTAGATCAAAGAGAACTGAATCCAATTGTCACTTTATAAACATTGTAGTAGTTTTCTGCTCGCATGGTGTCTAATCCTCTGTTTTCTGGAACTTAAGTTGAGGTTGTTAGGATGATATCTTGCTCTAATGCTCTTAAATTTGTGAGTCCAGGGAAATAAACCACGGCCAATCTTATCTATGAGAAAACAGAATGGGGTTCAACCTGATGGAAACTGGTTTAGTGTTTCTAATGCCAAAAATAGCAGGATGACTGATATCGATCAGAAAGAGCGTATTGAATATTGCTGTCCCAAAACACAGGTGGTATCATTTGTATGGGCAATTTGTCGGAGAATAGTCCCCGTGCCATTGCTTGGAGAACCTTCTAACTGGAGGGTTTTGCGGAAAAACATCTCAAGATTTATCCAGCTCCGAAAATTCGAGAAATTCTCCTTAAAGGAATGCATCTATAAGTTAAAAATATCAAAATTTCCTTTATTGTCAGTTAAACACGTTGGGGATACGCTCAGTGGGTGCAGTCAGCTTGGTATCACAGATGTTGCTCGACATGCAATTTTTCAATGCTGGATGTTTTGGTTTTTTTCAAGTCTAGTGTCACCATTGGTTCAGGCTCACTTTTATGTCACTGAAAGCGAGCATGAGAAACAAGAGGTACAATATTACCGAAAATCCACTTGGTTGAAACTGATAAGTGAAGCTGAATGCTTGAAGGACGGGAGGTTCTGCCAGCTGGATCACACATCTGTTGAGAAAATAATCAGGAACAGATCATTTGGTTTCTCCAGGGCCAGACTTCGTCCCAAGCCAAATGGATTCAGAATGCTTACAAATCTTCAAGCGCCATCAAGAATGAGTGTGGACCCTCCAAGAAATCCCTCCAATCAAAAGCTGTTGAGACTAGCATTGCCCGACCGTAGGGCAAAGTGTCGGTTTTTCAAGTCTGTGAACAGCATCCTTCAGGATCTGCACGTGGTTTTAAAAGGTTTATGGATAAAGGAACCAGTGAAGTTGGGTTCATCAGTTTTTGATTACAATGACGTCTACCGAAAGCTAGTGCCTTACTTATTTCATTTAAAAAATGGGTCGACTAGAATGCCTAGCATGTTCCTTGTGGTTTCAGACGTGTCAAAAGCTTTTGACTCCATTGATCAAGATAAACTGCTCAGTGTGATGGATGATGTTGTATTGGAAAATGAGTATGATTTGGAGAAATTTACTCAGGTTATCTGTACAAAGAAATCTTTGAAGGTCCACCTGCATGTGACTTTAGCACATGGAGATAATATTGGCGAGTTCGGGAAAATCACTCCACGACTCCCTGCCCAGGCATTGGATTCTGTTCTTATTAAGAAGGTACCGGTTGTCTTTTTTTATTGAAAATTGGATCATATCCAGTTGTTCCCTTTGACTTTTCTGCAATCTTCTATAGTTTCTACCGTTTGAAGTGTCAAATGTTTCCTATTTTGTTTCAACATGAAACATGTTATCAGACCTGTTCCTGTGTTTTAATATGGGAGATCGGCAAAAGATAATTACCTTGCTTTGTAGATTTTGTTTCATTGAACTTCATTAGATTTTTATATTCAGGTCAAAGACGAGAGCTACATTGGATGAAACTCAGAAGCTCAATAGTTTTGTTTATGAAGAAGTTTGAAAGTTGTCATGACATTATAAGCCAAAGTTAATTTCTCGATTATGTTGCATAATGTATCTTTTCATCATAGAAGCTTAAGCAGATAATGACAGAGAATTAACTAATTTTAATTGCAGTTGATCTTATAGTAAGCTTATTTGAGCCAATTTATTGGAACTGCTCTAGGTACTTGGTCTTTATTGAATGAGTGGCTGTGCAACTAGGGAGGGAGAAATTCTACGGCTTGATTTTTTGTTATGGTGTCACAATAAGGCCGGAATTTTTAACTTTTTTCATTTGAGGGTTTCAATTTTATTGTATTCTCATTATAAGGTCTACTTTTACATTCTACTTTTCAAGTTAAGACTCCAGCTCACTTGTATTTTGATATAATTGTGTAAAACCACAATACTTTTTTTGTTTAAAATTTATTTTTTAAATAATTAGAAATAATTTTAGTAAAACTATTTTAATAAGAAAATTAATTCCAAATAAGAAATAAATAAGAAAGATAATTTAGTTAAGCTAAATTTATTTTGCATAAATGTACTAGTTTGAATTAATTTTTTTACGAAGCTAGTTTTACATATATATTTCATACTTTTATCATAGGCATTAATTTTATATATTCTTGACTTTTTTAAAAATATAGATTTTATTCACACAATATTTTCTATAAATTTATTTAAAAAAATAAATTATTTTTTTATTAGTCTATATTTTAATGTTATCAAATATTTTAATTAAAATTAACTTAAATTTTTAACTTTTAAAATAAATTTCATTAAGCTTTTGCATAGATGTAAATTATGAAATAAATATCTTATTAGGTAATTTTACTAAAGATATGAAAAATAAAAGAAAAACAAAGAAAAGAAAAATTTACTAAAGATATTTGATATTTTTCATTATAAGTACTTAAATAATATTTTTTTTTAAAAAAAAGAGAATCGTGGTTTACATAATTATATCAAAATATAAAATGATTTGGAGTCTTAAATTGAAAATTAAAATGTAAAAATAGGTCTTGAATAACTTAAAATTAAAACCCTCAAATAAAAGTTGAAAATTCAAGCCTTATTGTGACACGATAACAAAAAGTCAAGCCTTAAAATGAAATTTTCCGGTGCAACTAGAGTATCTTGTACCAAAAAAATGTTTCCATTTTGTTATGTTATCAATTTTTTTTTCTTATTTCTGTATGTGATAATCGTATTCTTATGTATTCCGTTTCAGGGACTGAGCAGAAATATAAGGAAAGATAAAATCCTTGTAATTCTAAAGGAGCACATTACGCGCAATGTAGTTCAACTACATAATAACTTTTTTTTGCAAAATGTCGGCATACCTCAAGGCAGTGTCTTGTCTTCTTTGCTCTGTTCATTCTATTACGGACACATGGAGAGGAATGTAGTATTTCCATTTCTCGAGAAAGTAACCGAGGGCCCATCTGGAGAACTTGATACTTCTGGTGTTTCTGTTTCAAAAGGAATTCTTTCCAAAAGAGCTGCCACATGTGGACCTTCATACCTTCTGCTTAGGTTCATTGACGATTTCCTCTTCATATCAACTTCAAAAAAGCAGGCTTCAATGTTCTTCTACCAGCTGGGATGTGGAGTTCGTGAATACAACTGCTCTATGAATGAGGAGAAATACGGTTTAAACTTTGACATTAATGGTCGTCAACATTGCCGATCAAACAGGCTGCACGTCAGTAAAGATGGCGTTTCATATCTCAGATGGAGTGGGCTGCTCGTTAATTGCTCCACATTAGAAGTTCAAGCGGACTACACAAGGTTATATTTTGCCTTCTGTCAGTTATTCGCAAGTTTCGGATTCTTATATAAGTAACCTAATTTTCTTTGTCATACTTTTGCATATATGTGCAGTAATAATTGATTTTTACTTCTAAACTGTGTTGGTGAGATTGATGATAAAAAATATGAAAGATATAATGTATTTCGTATAGTTAAAAAATGTTTTGTTACCAATGACAGTGTCAGTATAACAAAATTTCTTCGGCCAAACGAAACTACAATTTTTCTCTATCCACTTCTTGAGTCGGCAGGAAAACTGAGTATATTATCTTATTTTCTTCTCACTTGAAACTTTAGCCTTACAGGTATCAGAGTACTCATTTGAGCTCCACTCTAACCGTAAGCTGCCGAGGACAAGTAGGCCACCAGTTGAAGTCAAAGCTTCGCTGTTACCTGCGGCCTAAATGCCACCCTATATTCTACAATTCTAACATCAATTCCCCCGGAGTTGTCAGGCTCAATATCTATCAAGTATTTCTGCTTTGTGCCATGAAATTCGTATGTTACGTTAAAAACTTGTCAATTCTACCAAGGCTCAGTCCACAGTTCCACTTTAATGCCATTGACGCGTCTTTAAGGTACCAAATTCACAAATTACTGATTCTCTAATCTACATTTTTGTATCTTCATTTGTCTAAAAGCAGTCTTCCGTTTCACTGGTTTCCAGGTACATGAACCGGCTCATTAAGAAAAAGATGTATTCTTTTGACATTGAAACTGCCTTTCGTCCTAAATACAATGTGAAGAAGAAGGAAATTGTGTGGCTTGGACTGTACGCCTACTGTCGGGTGCTCGGGAAAAAGCAGTCGAGGTACAAGGAGTTGCTTTCTTTGTTGAGGTCTAAGTTGAAGTCTTATGGGAAGGTAAAAACCATGTCGCCCCAGCTCAAGTATGCTATTGATGATGCACATTCATCAGTACTTTGGAGCATCAAGTATTGAATTGATTGTCTGCCCTTGCTTTTGTTTGTGATCGCTTATAGCAATTGCTTTTTGTGTAACAAAAACTGTGGATTTCAAGAGGATTAAATTTGTTTTGCCTGGGCCGGTATATACATTTTCAGGCCCATGATGAAAAGGTGAAAATGAACTTTTCTGTAATAGAGAATTATGTCGTTCATCTACGATTTTCTGTTTAGGACTTTTATCAATACAAGACTCGAAAGATGGTAAACTATCAATGCGGGGTTTGAAACTTTTTTTTTTTTCTCAATTCAGAACTTAAATGTTATAAAACTATCAAATTAAAGACCCGAAAGATGGATAAACTATCAATGTAGGAGTCTGAAAGATTTTTTTTTTCTCAATTCCGGACTTAAATGTTATAAAACTATTAAATTAAGTCTAGAATTAACAAAGCTCATAACACCATTAAATTTAGAGTTTAAAAAAATAAAAATAAAAGATTGGTGTTTACTCACATAAAATAATAAGTAAACATTTGCATAATATTAAAAAAAAAGAATGGACGATAGCAAGAAAACCGAGCAAGAGCTTCATACTTTCCTTAATTTTCTCCAACAATCTCGTATTTTCCATAATCTATATATATATAATTACTGGCTCATAACATTTAATAAAACCTATTAAATTATACCTACGTGACACTTTCCCGCCAAAAACCGTTACTTTTCAATTTATTTATTTATTTATTTTATTTTATTATAAAAACATATTTGATTTGTATTAATGTGTTGCTAAGTTAATATTGGTCAAAACCTCATTTACTGTGTAGCCGTTACATTTCTCTTTTTTCCTTATTATCTTTACTACCTTTGAATTTCGAAAATAAGTTTTTTTATTATCAAAAAATTGATTCACTCATAATATTTTATCTGTTTATTCTCACTAATTTATGATACTTTGTTTTTTTAGTAACTAAAGCTGTTTTGATTTCAGTAAAATTTTTCGACAATATAGTCCTAACTACATTTAGTAAAATTTACCAATTTTAAGTGGCAACTAGATATTCATACTTCTTTAGCAAGTAGCTGATTTTCGACAATATAGTCCTAACTACATTTAGTAAAATTTACCAATTTTAAGTGGCAACTAGATATTCATACTTCTTTAGCAAATAGCTATTGTAAAATCCACGACAAGTAGGTGCATTCGTTTGAAATTTCGAGTGACATTTAAAGGCTATTCGAGATTTGAAAATTTTAAATTAGAGGAATCTTATGAAATTTTAAGTTTGGATGTGAGATTTGTAATGAGTTTTAGTATGTGTTTATTTCTTTAGAAATTCCAACAAATATTAGAAAGTTTTAACAAATCTTAATCTCAAATAACTAAATATATCGAGATGAATACCAAATGAATATCTCAAGACTTTTGTAAGTCTTGAGAACTCTAAATTAAATTATACTATAATTTTCAAAGTCTTAAAATTTTTCAAAATTTTTTAAAAATCTCAATTAAATACACACTTAAATTTAAAATAGCTATTTTGTAAAATCCAAAATAATTAATTAAATTTAAATATTTTCCATATTGTATACAACACCACAAGTAATTAAATTTAAATATTTCCATTGTATATACAAATCACAAACTCATTTGCATCTCACTGTACAATTCATTCATGTTGTAATAAAATCGTACCATTAAATGACAAAAAGCAACTTCCGGAGAAAAATCGGCCACCGCCTCATAACATAATCCCCCGAAATTTATATATATACTAGCTAATAGCATTTAATAAAACCTATTTAATTTTACCGATGTGGCAATTTAACCCGTTTCCCTCAAAAAATTGTTACTTTTGATGTATTTAATCTTTTATTTAATTATTAAATAATCAACACTAATCACTTCAAAATACAAAAATCATTTTAAACTTTTGATTATTGACAGTTGACCATATAATGTGTTTACCGTATAATGTGATTAGATGTTATAATTGTGGTTAAATTTAAATTATTATTATTTTTAAAAGAAAAAACATATTTGAAATTCTTAAATAAATAATAAATAATTCACAAAAAAAGACGTACCAAAATATATATTACATCCAATCAGATAAACACAATTATTAAAAAAAATAGGTATTCCAACTCCTTTAATTGTAAATTTGGCCAGCAAAAATGTAAAAGAAAAATAATTAATCATTATATGCATACAAATAACTCACAATATTTTATTTACATTTGTGCAAATACACAGAT